TTTACTTCAAGAAAAAGGTCCATCAAGGGGTGATCAGGATCATCATCATCAACAATGGTCCAAAGAACCTCATTTCTGCATCTTGAAAGTAAAAATTGGGATTAAGCGTCATACCCCGTTTAAGCATTTATCCTTTGGAATGGATTCAAAATGAATCTGAGATGATGACCGATTGGCAATGCCAACCCAAATTCACAATAATAAAGCACTACATTGACAAGATGTTCTGAGAGGTAGTTCAACAAGAAATATAACAAGTTATCTTGCCTTCAACAAAGGCAAGCAATGCTACACTGACGACCTTACTAGTGTCAATTCAACAAAAATAAAAAGAACTTCTTGATAGAAGACTACCAAATTCCCACAATGGATATGACACCAACAAGCCAAGATTCCAAGAAAGAAAGATCATCAATGCAAGCCCAAAATCCATGTTGCTTATCCATCCAATTAAAGAAGAACGAAGTTTTCCCTCTCTGTTGTAGAAAATAATGGTAGCATACAAATGTAGAAGCTGAATGAGAAGTTTACATCACTCTTCAAGAATGTCCACTTCCCACCAAAGCTGCCCATCAAGCATGACATATAGCTCATTTCAGATACTTTGCAATTAAATCTCCCAATGTAACGAAATTTGATCATAGAAAAAGGAAGATAAAAAGGTACTTCATAGATCTGTTCAAGAATGAAGTGATCCAACCCAGTAGTTCTCCTTGTGGATCACCCAGTATGATGATTCTCAAGAAGGATGGTATATGGAGATTATGACTTACGCCCACAAGCGAAAAATTATTGTCTTTTATTGCGCATCATTGACTTGCGAGATCAACTAAAACCTACCAACATCTTCTCCAAGTTGGATCTCAAATCTGACAATCATCAAATGATAATCAACTAGCAAAACACTTGAAAGATGCGTTCAAGACAAGGCCAAGGTGATATAAATAATTGTTTATGCCATTTGGATTGTGCAACACCCCCACAATGTTGATCGTCTACCTCAGGAATATCCTAGCCTTCAACAAATCATGGTATAAGCATCTTGAACACCTAAGGAATTTAAACTTTTACAATAATATCAAGTTATCAACTCAACCTGAAGCAAAGGAAATGCAAGTTAACAAATAAAACCCTCTTTTGCCTAGGATTTAAAGTAGACAATGGGGAGATCAAAATTAAGAACAATAAAGTAAAAAAAATCAAGGAGTGACCAAGATCACACAATTAATAATGGAACAAGCATCCCTAAAGCATCTTGAGCACCTAAGGAATGTATCAAACTATTGAAATAGCATTCATTCCACTTCAATCAGAAGATCCGTGAGTTTATAAAAAAATTTCTCTTTTATACAAGATTTGAAGTGGATGATGGGAAGATCGAGATTGACCCTAGCAAAAGTGAAGGCAATCAAAGAGTAACCAAAGCCATGCACAATTACTAATGTGAGAAGCTTTATGGATGCTTGTCAATACATTCATGAATTCATTAATCACTTACATTATTGGCTTCTCCATTACATCCCCTCACCCTACTAAATTCCAAATTCAAATATAACAAAAAATATGCGGGCAAGTTACTCCTATTACAAAGAAGAATAAGCAAGGATCCAGTTCTTCCCTTGCCAAATTTGCAAAGACCATTCGAGTTAAATCCTGACGTCGAGCCAAAGCCTGATGCAAGTGGTCACACGATAAGACTAATTCTAAGACTAGATGGGAGATCTTTTGCATACCACTCATAACGCTTTTAAGGTGCACAAAAGAATTACTTAACTTAAACGTTGGCAAAGTATCAAACAATGAAGCATTTGAATTCTAAATCTTAGGGAAGGAGGTCGTGATTCATGCTATCCATATACCATTTAAATGTATGGAGACTTGCACAAAGCTAGAACAGAGTAACAACATAAAGTGGTAGCATACCTTCAATAGCTTAACCTAGTGATCTAGTGCAATATGGTTGTAACCAATAACTGGTTATTGGTTGACATGCTTTTGCTCACCAATAACCCTTACATGTTTTAGTATTATAGTACATGCTGAACCAGATTTGTAAAAAAGACTACAAATGCAACATTAAAAGGATTCTTTCTTCAAAAGGGTCTTGGGAGGCTAAGGGAATATGCCCCTTCGGAGTTCACATTGATAGATAACTTCATGTACAAAAAGTAAGTTTTGTATACCTAACACCGAGTATGGTGGATGAGGGTGGCACAATCATCCAACATGGTTGGACACGTTGGAATAATTGATCTTTTACAAAAATCACAACGCTACATTTATTGGCCAACTATGCAACTTGATGTGGAAAAGCTCATGAAAGGTACGCATCTTGCAACAACTCCAGGTCTAAAAAATGGAAGTTCGAGCTATACAAAATGCTAGCAGCGCAAGTTTCCCATGTCAAAGCATTTTGGACTTCCTTAAAGGATTGCCAAGGTCAAAAAGGAGCCACGAATACCTCTTTGCAGTAGCAGATCACTTCTCTAAGATAGTCATCTTGATTCTTATAAGAAATTCACAATTGATGAAGAAATTGACATATTATTCTTCCAGCATATGTAGGCACTATTTGAACTTTCCAAATTCTTTATGTCTAACAAAGACATACAGCTCCTTATCAATTTCTAGGAAGCTTCGTGGGTCATGATGGATGCAAAACTAAAGAAGAGCATCAAATTCCATCAAGCAGATGATAAAATTGTGGTGGAGAGTAAGACATTGGAGCATCTCCTCCGAAGCTACAATCAAGAATCTCAAGACTTAGGTGATAGCCTTCCTTACCTACAATTCACATTCAACCAAGCTAAACACTCCTTGAGGATAAAGACTCCCTTTTGAGGTCTATTTGGATAGCTTCCAGAAAGCTTGTTCGAATTCCACCTCCATCACTCCCACAATTGATGATGGGACTGAATTCAAGGAAGAGCATAAAGATTCCTTGAAGACATTTGCAAAATTCACATGTTGGTGAAGAAGTAGCTACAAAGAACTCTAACAAAAGTATAATAAAAGGCGCATCTGGCATCATGTCAAAACCAACTTTCAGGCGGGTGATCTTATCTGACCACATTTGAACAAGGATCAACTCAAGGGAGAAGAAAAAATGCTAAAGCCAATCCAATATGGGTCATTCTGGATTTTCAAATATATGGGATACAATGCCTGATGATTGGAATTACCACAATACATGGAGATGTACTCAACGATAAATGTGGAGAAATGGAGATGCTTGATAGGGTGCTAGAGAATTCTTTCATGCAATGAATAACCAATTGATAGAGCATGCAATACCATTGGAATTAGACATCCTCTTAGAGAGAAGACAATCACTCCATGTCATGGTCAAGCACAGACTTATCATATTAGTATAAAGGCCAATTGCATAGTGAAACAAAGTGGTAAAACAAGAAAGTTAGGCATGCAGCCTTCCATCATATGGACTTATAATTCCATGCCAGTGAAATCCTCCTAAAGGAAGCCCTCTGATTTACAGGCCAAATCAAATGGATGATTAATCAGATCATCCAAGATCACAATTTGAGCATAAAATAATGAATATATCAAAGGAATATTGATTGTTGAAATTTAACAATCCAATCTTTTTATAGAGACAAGTAATATTATTGATTCTCAAATCATATAGCTAAGATTGAAGATCAAGAGAACAGGAGTCATAGTTGAAAATGGAATATCAGTCAGACTTTTGGTAATCAAAATGGGAGAAAACAAGACTGAACCATCGGATGTTGATTTAGAAGAAAGGAATGTCGGTTAGTCCAGGAATCCTTACCTGGTCAGCAAGCCCTAGATCAATATAAATTGTAAATCTTAAGCCTGTTTTAAATATATTAAAAAAAAATCTGTGTTGAATATATTTATATTTTTAATTTCAAAATAGGATTTCCCTCTTTTTTAGAGTAAATTAAGGAAAAGATAAGGACTATTTTGAATTAACGCATATTTTTCTTATAAAAAGACATATTTCCTATGATGGAATTCATTCCAATCTCTACCAAATTCTTCTCTATCTTCTCCTACTCTCTCACATATGTTGTAAGCCCCAATTGTGACAAAAGAGAAACCGAATCCTCCAATTGAAAACCCACTATCAACCACCTGCTATTGATATGTGCATAAATAGAAAACAATAGATCATCCTATTGTTTAGAGAAATTTAGAGGATAATTTGGCCTCTGCCTTTCTTCATTCTTGTAGAACAAAGAAAAAAATTTAGGTTGAAGTTCCCACAAAGTTGACTTCTTGTCCAATGGAGAGCTCAAAAATAGAGAAGAACATGTTATCTACTGAAAAAAGAGAGCAAAAACTAGGAGAGAAACATCTAAAAGGAGAAGACAAACCGAAGATGCTTTATTTTGGTTCATCTATCATTAGAATTGCTCCAAAAGAAATTTCTATACCTATTTCCCATATGTGTCTGCCTCCTATTGTAAGCTCACATCATATCATTATGAGATTAGTCCAATCAATACATCAATCTCTCCCCAAACCCTACATTAATGGAAGCTTCATTCATTAGGCACACCATTTTTTATAGGGTAAATATTGTAGTTATATTTAGACCTTCCGGCTTTCACTTTAATTTGAATATTGCTATACTTATAAAAACTTGAACTTGATTGCAGCCTCCAAAGATGAATTAGGAGATGCCAAAAACAACTTCGGGAAGAAGGTGACTACTTGGTGCGTTAGAATTTCTGCATTTGGCCTATTCATTAGATTTGAGTTAAGAATTACATAAGATAGCATTCTCTTAACATATATATGTCCACAACATGAGAACAAGTAGTATGCGCAAACTTAGTATGTTCTCAAACAAAAGAAAAGACGGTTGAAGATTTTCTCTAGTGCTAACTAATGGTCATTTATCTGCACTATCCTGTGATACAAATACCTACAAAACACATGATACTTTCTGAAGGAAATATTCCAATTACATAATTTATCATAAAAAAAACGCATGTTTCATGAAGGAATACCCGCAGAGCATCTGTCAGCTGACGGCCTTGAAGACCATCCTTGTGAATAGTCCACTTATTCTCAACATTTTTTTTCTTTGAAAAGGGCGGCACACCTGAACAAAATCTACCAATAAAGTAGGCCTTTTCTGTATTAGTGCTTGCGCGAACATTGTACTCCTGCAAAAAGATTATAATTGCCAATATTAGTTAACATAAAGATCAAAATGTGATGAAAATAAAGACCAACGTTTTCTAAGCAAAAGAAAAAAAAATCCAATATGACACCGAATTTGTGATTCCAAATAAAATCAACAGGTAACGGAATGGCAATGACAAAAAAGAAAAGTTCAAATTTAAAGACAAAAGGTAATCAAGAAGCCAAGGAAAAGAAAAAGTGCTGACCCGTATAAGTCTACTGATTGGAACGCCGCAGATGTTGCACCGGGTGCGGTTCTCCGCCATGGTCTTACCGCATGAAGGGCATAGGGTTTTGTGCCTGCAGTTGCTCCCGTAGAGGTCCGACGGCGACCCACATCCCTCGCACGCCGGTTTAAGAACCAGATCGAACGACATATCAGACAACGGCAGATATCTTGGAAACCCTAGGAACCAAGCTCCGAACAGCAGCAGGGCGAAATAAAAAAAACGAGCTGCGGAGGTGTTGAGATGTTCGCGTCCCGGCTTGCGTTAGATGTCTACGCCGGCCGCATGCGGTCGGTCGTGTGCCCGGATTAGTCGCGCGTGCTAGCGGCAAAAGCCGACCACCTCTCCAGTCTCCTCCTCTCCCTCTCCAACATAAATATTAAATATTAAAAATTATAATGATTAATGATAAATTTGACTAATTTTATAGTATTAATAAATAATAACTCTCAATTATTTTAATTTTTAATTTTTTATGGACTATTTGAGATGTCCACGAATTTCTAAATATACAATCTAAAATTGTTAGGTAAAAAAAAAATTTTAAAGATGTTATAAAAAACACCTTCTATCATAATTTTTTTTTTGAAAGTTATAAGAAAGTAAGAACTAAATAGAAATTATAGTAGCAATCTTAAAACTAAAGTAGTAATAAAACCTTAATTTTATAAGAAACGAGGAGAATTAACATTCTCCATTTAATTAAAATATGCTGTTATGCCATTAAATTTAAGATAAAAATCATAATTTTATGATGCATTATTAAAATTAGTGGTATAATTTTTAAGATTTTTTTGGAACATTTAGATCAATTAAGACAGATTAACACACACATCGCATACACAAGATTCGAACCCAAGACTTCTTTGTTGGTACCCTAACTTCCTAACCAACAAACCTAGATGAGTTGTGTGTTTTTAAGATTATTCAATCATTCATGAGAGGCATTTATAATTTCACAAAGAATGATCGGTGAGACGGTGAGAGGATAGTTATAATTTCGAATCATTAGGAGCTTCAAATGGCTTTGAATCAAATGCATGCTTATTAATGATACATAATGGTTTCATTTGAGACGGCTTTTTTTTCTTCTTAAAACGGAGTTTTAGTACCAAAAATTTTATTTTTTATTCATAGTGATGGTGAAATAGATGGGGATATTATTAGTAGGATTGAAGTTGGATGGCTGAAGTGGAGGAATGCTTCGAAGTTGTTGTGTGATAGAAAAGCACCACTCAAACTTTAAGGAATAATTTTATAAGATGGTGGTGAGACCTGTAATGCTTTATGTCATAGAACGTTGGCCATTAAAAGAGAAGCATAATATTAAGTTAAGTGATACTGAGATGAGGATGCTCAGGTGGATGAGTGGATTTACTCTTAGAGATAGGATACGAAATAAGAATATTCGTGAAAAGGGTGGAGTAGCTCCAGCGACAAATAAGATTAGAGAGAGTCCCCTTAAATGGTTTGGTCATGTAAAGCAGCGGCCTTTCGATGATCCTATTAGGAGATTATATGTATTAGATTTTGCCTATGTTACGAAAGATGAAGGTAGACCTTAAAAAACTTGATTAGAAAATATTAGAAATGATCTTTCTTTGTTATATTTAAGTGAGAATTTGATTCTTAATAGGACACAATGGAGAAAAAGAATTCATGTAGCTAACCCCACATTATGGGAAAAAGGTTTGATGTTGTTATTATTATATATTAATTGCATTCTAATTATACTTAAGGCTAACAATAATATCAAATGCCTGATTTGGAAGGCAATGTATAGACCTCGATAATATGGGACAAGACGAAGGAATTGATCTCAACTATTGGAATAAAAATCAAAAGTCAAAATCAATTGAAGAGAATAGGTGTGTCTACAAACATCAACAACAACATCAATAATAATAATAACAACAACAACAATAATAATAGTAGCAAATAATATTTATTGCATTAATAAAGTTTATATCAATTATTTAATAAAGAAATGATAATGCTAATCAACACCACGAGCTGGGCTACAATCAACTTCAAGAACGCTCGTCAGAAACGCTTTTTGACCCCCATCCTCATTAATCAAAGAACAATCACTATCACTCCTAACCACGTCATTCTCTTTTATTGAAAAGACTAACCGGTAAGGTCATCTCCAACCGAGAACTCTATTTTTCACGTCAAAATACCACAAAAAGCAAAAATGGCGTGGTGCTGCTCCAATCCAACGCCATTTTTTTGCTTCTGCGCCAAGGTAACGACCCTTCTCCTTTCCCGCATTTTTCCGGTTGACAGAGAAAAATGGCGTGGGTGAACAGTGCAACGCCAATATTGGCGTTGCACTATTCACCCGCAATGAAATGGAGGATTTTTTGGCGTTCGGCTGGAGCGAAGGAATGACGCCAAACGCTCGTTTGACGTTCGGTTGGAGATGCCCTAAAGACCGAGATTGAACAAACCCACCTTAAAATCCTTAATTGATAAAGAATCATAAGCGAAACCTCTGATCCGGAGATTGCTAAACCCTCTCCCAAGATTTTGAAATGGAGATTTCTTAGATCCAAAATTAGAAGGGATTGAAGAGCAACTAGCCCAAGAAGAGGCCAATCTGCAATCCCCCCTACCATCGCAGAGTTCTCGTGCAAAAAAAAAACCACCAAGCAGACTTCAAACAAGAATTTTCTCTCTCCCCAAAGCTTATATCTAGGAACTTCGCCACTCCTCAGACTCGGGCTGTGCAAATATGCATTTTATGAATAATTTGATGTTTTTTATAATTTATAAGTTTTAAAAATTATTTATATTTTGATATTTATATATGAAATAAAAATATCAAATAAATAGTTGGATAGACATATATGAATTTTTTTAATCAATATTTATATTTTTATCCAACAATTTAAATAATACTTAATGAATTGAACCAATTTTTATTAAAATTTATAAATTTGATCATGCTTAATAATTGAGAATATATTTAAATTAATAGTATCAAGTATATAACTAATTGAGCCTTATTAAAGCTTAATTATGATTTGAATTGAAAAGAGAACTTATTAAGTTTGTAAAAGACTTAAAATTCAAGGAATGTATAAACTATGCTTGAATTTGATAGGAAAATAAATGAATGTATTTGATCAATAATAAAATTAAAAAATACTAATGAGGTAGCACGAGTCTAAAAAATAAACAAATCAATAAAGAAAATTAATGCAAAGGTTAATAAAATTGCAAAAAATAAATAAAATTCATAGATTAAAGATAACCGATCCTTAAAATTTTATTTTACTTTCACAAACTTAAAAACATAAAATCAAAATTAAATAGTAATTCAATAATTGTTTCATTTCATAAATCAATAGGAAATTAAAAAGAATTATTTAGTTTTCAGTTATGAATGATCCATAACATATACAAAGTGGTTAACTTCACATTTCATATTAAACAAATGAAAAAAAAAAGATAAGTAGAAAGTAGTTATCAGCCATAAAAAGAGAAAATAGAAATAGAGATATGAGGAATGTGAGCAATCTTGTGCCGATCGGAGCTTCCATCCTCTCCATAGCGCTCCTTTATCTCTGGATGGCAGTTCCCAATTATAAGACGCTTCAAAGAGGGAGGAAGGTTCGGCAATTCCTGAAGCATAGGAACGTGATCAATAGATAGTTTCTGAAGTGAAGATAAGCTTTCCATGGCGGAAGGGAGAGACTGTAAGGATTTCAGCCTTTTAAATTCCAGCTCACAAAGAGATGCCCTAACTCTCAGAAAACACTCATCCGCCTCATTTGGAAATGAAACCAGCACATCATTATCCGCGATTCTCAGAGTTTTTAAGGAGGCGATGCTTCTCAATGGCTTCATCAGCAACACCGATGGATCGCTTATACTGAGATTGCTGAGTATGAGATCGAAATTATTAGTGGTTTGCATTTCTCCGAGAGAGATCAGATTGGGGCACTTTGTGATTGTCAAGGATCTCAGTGCTGCAAGTCTCGCTATTTCATCAAGCAGAGGAAGAGATGTAATGTTTGGACAACGAGAGACCTCTAATGTTTCAAGGGGAATTGGATTTGAACTGCTACAAAAATTCAAAGTCGTCCACCCAATGTTTTCTATGTACAATCTCTTGAGCTTAGAAGGCAAACAGGGCGACTCTTTCAACATCGGACAGTTAGATAGCACCAGTTCAATTAAGCAATGAAACAAAGATCCATCTTCAACAGCTACTCCTGCCTCAAACCAATCCGCTAATGCTTCTGAATTGTAAATGCGTAAAACCTCTAGCATTGGAAAGGCATGGTATTTATCATTCCCGTTAGATTTACTTTCGAGCCATTTTACTTTCGACATGTTATAAAGTGTCAGAGACTTGAGAAAGGGAAGTTGCCCAAAAGGTGGAAGAGCTTCCCAATTCCTGCAATGTGACAATTCGATTTTCTCTAGATTGAAGATCGGATTGACGTTGTTCATCCATATAGCAGACCTTGCACCCATGTATCTCTCTATGCTCAGATTCCTTAGGCATTTTGGTGGCTGAAGGTTGTCGAGCACATTCTCATCTAAATAGATGTTCCTCCAATTCATGTTATTCCAACGTAAGGTTAAATCTGTGAGCCTTCTCTTGGCATATAATTTGGCACTAAAAGCCTCCTCAGCCTCCTTGACATTTTCAAGGAAATTGATTCCTAATTTGCAAAGATCATTCATATTCTCCAGCTCCCCAATTCTATAACCACTCGCATCTCTAAGATTAAACATATTCAGTTCTTGAAGAGGCTTTAGCTTCCCAATCCCACATATCGATGGAATGGAATTCTCGGGCAATTCCACGTAACACAAGTTAGAAAGGTTATTGATGTCACTTGGTAAAAAATCATCATCAACTTTACTATGTCTTAACTTACATGAAAGTGATGAAATGATTATGCATTGCAAGTGATAGAGATTACTTAGAGATCTTGGCAGCCTAGTCACATCATAACCATAAATATTTAAGTATCGAAGATGTATCAAGTTTCCAATCTCCTCTGGTATTATTTCCAAGTCCTTTGGAGCCCATAAGTATAATAAGCGCAGGCTTCGCGATGCTTTGAATATTTCAACAAGTCCACTGCAAATATCCTGTTTAGAACCTTCATAGAACAAGAAAAGAGAATGCAAATGCTTAAACTTCTCAATCTTTCTTAAGATGTACGGATTTATAGTTTGAACAGACAATTATCGAATAGTTTCAGAAATCTTGAGAGATGACTCTTCATCATCTACAAGTTTACCGCATTCATGTGCAAAAAATTTAGACGCCGACTCATGTATTAAATTATGCATCTTGTAGTCATCTCCGACCTTGTCAAATAAAGCTTTTTTGACTAAAACATCAAAATACCTTCCTCCGATATCCTCCATAGTCATTCCTTGAGACGGCTGAATGAAACCCAATGCAATCCACATTCGGACTAAATCATCTTTATCAAACTGATGATCTTGTGGAAACATACAACAAAATGCAAAACAATTCCGTAGATGATTTGGCAGAACTATATAGCTCAGTCTTAAGATGGAATTGATAGAATTCTGATCCAATAAATTGCTTTCTAGAACTGTCCTCCAATGCCTTTCATCCAAGTTCTCCTTCAGAACACCACCTATGACTTTAGCTGCCAATGGAGATCCTAAAAGCTTTTTAACAATCTCTCCAGCAATGGCTCTTAATTTTTTATGATCATCAGAGGTGTTCTCTAAACCAGCAAATGCGTGAGAGTTGACGAGCTGCAAACACTCATCTTCCTCTAGGCCCTCTAATCTAACTATTTCCTTCTTCTTGTTGATTACATTTGCAAACATTAGTGCAACTGAGTCTGTTCGAGTTGTTACCAGAATTTTACTACCAAAACCCCCAGAAGCTAGAGGGGCGAGCACATTCTCCCATTTACTTTGATCCCTCTTTTCCTCATCCCAAATGTCATCTAGCACAAGTAAGAACTTTTTGGACATCACCTCATTCTTGAGACGCTCATGAAATGCTTCAAGTTTCTCCAACCGAGGCCTCTCCTTCTTAAGAAGTTCCAACATATCTGCAATGACTTCTTTAGCATCAAAATTGTTGGAAACACAAACCCACATTTTAAGATCAAATTCCTTCATCATTTCATCTTTATAGATATGTTGCAAGAGAGTTGTCTTCCCCATACCACCATGGCCAACTATAGATAGAAGAGAAATGTTTCTGTACAAATCAGTTCCCCGAGGCTCATTTGATGGATTCCTGATCAGCCACTCCATAACAAGCTCCTTCTCCTTGCCTCGACCGACGAGATCATTTTTAGGCGAGGATCCCGTTTCACGTGCTCTGTACAGCTCAAGCTGCTGCTCCTGATGCTCCTGCTTTGCGTCTTTTACAAGATAAAGGAAAGAAGCAACATTAGTTGAAACTCCATAAAGTTTCTGCACAGCCTCCTCCAGTCGCTTCAAGTTGGGATCAATTTTGAGAGCACGTTTGCTAACTTTGACAAGTCTTTTCTTCATGGATTTCATGATGAAACGCACCCTTCTCACCTTCTTGTTTTCGGTCAGCTGTTTTTCAAGTTCCATGTACTCCAGCTCATCCAGCACGTCATCTGCATCATCAATGGCATCTCGTAGCTGCCATAGCCATCTGTTAAGATCCCGATATTCTTCTGTGATCTGCTCTTGGCTGGAAGCAAAGTGGACGACAGCTTGGATCTGGGGGAGATTCTCTCGCAGCCTTTTCAGCTCCTCCTTCGTGCGTTTCTGCCATCTGACCTGATTTTTCAGGTAACGCAAGCCAGCGCTGATGATCTTCTCCATAATTGGATCAAGAAACATATCCGCCATGGCAACGATGATCGATGTAGAGCAGAACAACTGAAGAGTAAGAAAAAAAGGAGATTGGAAGAGATGAAGATTAGATAGTCTACTGGCTCACGATCCATACATGTACTGGTTAAGATAAGGGAAATCCTTACATCCTTAATTCATCTCAACCGTTCCTTTGAAATCCAACGGCCTAGGGAAATCCTTATAGTGAGACTTTTCTTCCTTTGCTGGCAAGCTTTCCTATATTCTAATCAATTCATGACATTAATCCAAAGGACGTCACATGCTAGAAAGAAATAGTTGTCTGCCACTTGATAATGTAGAATACAAAGCTCCAAAAGTTTGACCTGTAAATCATCAATTAATTTGACTTTAATGACACTGCTTAAGACTTTTCAATTTTATTTAAGATCATAAATCTAATTAATTAGTCCCAATTAAGTCTTATTATAATTGAAAATAAAAAATTAGAAATAATATGATCATTTTATAATTTCATTATTTAAAATTTTAAAAAATTTTAAAAACTAGAAATTTAACCTATAATTATCCATTTTTATTAAAATTCATAAATTTAATTATGTTTGGTAATTATATTATATATTTATCTTATTTAAATGAAATATATAATTGGATGAGTTTTATTAAATCTAGCTTTTGACATGAACTTTGAAAAGAAAACTTAAGAATATGTTTTAATATGATTTAAAATATGGTAATCTTTAAATTTGATCCAAATTTGATAATAAAATAAATAAATGAACTTGATCAGGATAACATTTGGATTAATTTTTATTATTTATAGCCTTAACGCATCAACTAATAATAAAATAAATTCAATGGGAGCCTAATTTGAGCAACAAATCACTAGAAGAAAAATAAAAATTTTAGCAGAAATATAAACCAGAGAACTAAGGTTTTGTTTGGGACGACTTTCTTACTGCTTCTTAAAGCAACTTTTAATACAAATATTTTAATTTTTATACTAAAAAGCTGTTTTAAGAAGCAATAAAAAGCTGTCCCAATCAAAAACTAAGGCAACTGCACCACTAATTTCAATTTCACAATCTTCTATAGCAGAAATAATCCCACCTTTAGTTTAACCAAAGTATCTAAGAAAAAAAAATATCCAAGCAACCATATAGCAGAAGAATATTAAAAAACATGCAGCTGCAAATTCCAAAAGAACAGACCCTCCACTAGCTTAAACTCCATTACTATGAGTTGCAATCAAGGATGTTTTTTTTTTTTTTGGAAAATTTATATGGGAAAAATGATTATGATACAAAGCAGGAATCGCCAGTACACCCAGAGCTGCAAACCATCTGGTTTTACAAGTATCTTTCCAAGAGATGATATGTAATTTTTCTCTCGAAGAATCACCATGAAAAAGAAATCTGGAGCATACATTATTTATGAATTTAATCCCAGCTTTAGGTATAATAACTCCTCTTAACCAATAAACAAAAGTGTTATAGATAATAAATCTTAAGAGCTGATATCTTCCAGCAAAAGACAAAAGATGAGCTTCCCAACCATCTAATAATCCAGAAATTTTTGGAGGAAGAGGCCGAAAGTCAGAGGAAACCAACCTGTAAGAAGAAATCAGGAGGCCAAGATAGGTGAATTTTTTAGAGGGGTGAGGGATGTTTAAAAGTCTTCAAATAGCAGGGAAGGAATTAGAGATTTTAGAAAACAAATTAGAACTTTTTAGCTGGCTTGTATGAAGCCCATAGGAATTAGCAAAAACATTAAGGGGATGTTTGGTGTCGGATTTGTAGCATGTTTTACGTCAGATTTATGGTAAATTCTACCAAACAGTTTTCAAGCGGCCGTAAATCTGAATTCCTCGTAAATCCCGTTGTTCAACGGATTTATGAATTAAGGAATTTACAAGCTTGCAAGCGAGAAGGGAGGAGGAGAAGATTGCTACCTACACACTAAGCGAGCTCTTGTTGTGACTTCAAAGGAGACAAAGCAATGAGCGAGCTCCCGTCGCGTTAAGCCCGCACAATACGCGAAGACGAAGAAGTCACGAAGAAATGAGAAATGACGACCACGAAAACTGACGAAGCGACCTCCTAAATTATAAAATAATCCAAACTAGCATTATTAATTTAATTTAGATATTATAATTAATTAGATTAATCAAATAATTAGTAGTATAATTTAGTAATTTAATTTAGCTTAATTTAAAAATTAGTAGTATAATTGCCATTAAATGAGTTTAATGAATAGTTATAATTCGTTGATTATTATAGTTATTAATAGTATAATTATCATTAAATTAGTTTAATACTTAAAACATTAATTAAATCATTAATATGAGTATTACTTAAAATAACTTGTAACTTCAAAAAATGATTAACTAATTCATTAGAATTTAAGAATATAATTAGATAATTAGTACTATAATAAGTAATTTGATAACTAAAACCTAAATAATTAATTTGATTATTAGTAATAATTAAACTAGCTTCTAATCATAATATTTATCATTATAACTTATTAAAGCTAATTAAAATTAAAGTTAATAGGTAACTAATAGTTAAAATGAAAATTAAATTCAAAGCACATTAAATTTAATTTTTATATGAACCAACCGTCTTAAATTCTGGATTCAAACAGTTTCTCATGATTTGTTAGGATTTAACATATGTCATATCAAACAGTTTTTAGAATTCAAGTATTTAACAGTATCAAAATTTACTAAATCAGAATTTACAAGATTTACTAAATCCATATAAAGTTAAATCCTACTTGTTGCCAAACAGCCCATACGGATATTGTTTAGGGAGATTGCATTTTGAGCCCAACAAATCATCGACGTTATTAAATGGGTCAGTTGAAAGTCACCTTTAGATATGCCTTTAGAAGAATGTGATTATGTCAAACTAACAAATAATATACATCTTTCAAAAAGATATGATCCACATGTTTTGTAACATGGCATTCATTGATGTTAAAAAACACAATCCATTTACATATTGTATAGATTTAGGGGTTGTTTGACATCAAGATTTATGCAGGATTTCAACAGGATTTATGCATAAATCCTGCCAAACAAGATTTAAGCAGCAATTAGATCTCACTGTGGAATAAATCCTCAATTTGTTCTTTTTTGGGTAAATCTCGGATTTACTAAATCCAGAGTTTAGCGGATTTATGGGATTTGGCTGAAAAAGCGCACGAAAGCTGTGTATTGGATATGTATTAGTTGTACTATAAAACACAATGTGATAATATGTATTAGTTAGTACATAGTGTGTTCAAATAATACACTCTCAACATATAACTAATGCACAGACTGCACAGTTAATATATAACTAATACACAATGAGTATTGACATGTGTCGTCATTTGATTGGACTCTAGACGTAGCTTTACATCCACCATCAAAGAAGAATGGATATTTAATTTAATTAATATCAATTAAAATTAAGAAAATAAATAATTTACAATTTTCTAAAAAAAAAGATAATTAATAATTAAATAATTAACTAGATAATTACTATTCTAGTTAATAATTAGAAAACTATTCAAAATAATAATAGTAGTTATATAATTAATTAAATTATTAACATCTATGATAATAATTGTAGGGGTGCAACCGAGTCAAGTTGACTTGCGAGCCAACTTGGGCTCAACTCGTTATTGGGCTCGACGATTTGAGCTTGAACATGATTTCGAGCTTGTTGGGCTTATTGAGCTCAAGTTTTATCCAACCAAAGCTCGGCTCGATTACTCGCAAACCAGCTCGGAGGAGGTATTGCAAAATAGTAGCGCGAGAACACAAAGTAGGAGCATAGGATCGCACGGAGTCGGACGCGGGAAACGAGCTAGGTCTCGGCCTCAGATTGGGGCGCGGGATCGAATAGAGTCTAACACGGGCAGTGGGCTAGGTTGTGGCCCGTAGGGCGTACACGGGCCACGAAGTTGCTGCTTGATGAGCTCTTCTTCCTCTGGTGAGTCAAGCTCGATATTTGGCTAGCGAGTTGAGCTCAAGCATTCCTGACTCGAGCTAGATTTGTCTCGTTTGCACCCCTAATTAATTTGACTTAAGCTAGTTAATATACCTAAGTTATATTATTAATTAAGTTTTTAATTATGTTTTTTATTATTTTTATTTATTTATAATAATTTAAATTAAAATAAAGAAGTAATTTGTATTAAATCATAAATTAAATTTGTGTTTTTAATGAATTAACTTTCTTAAATTTTGGGTTACATTGCCAAATAGGCAAAATTTAACACTCATATTGCCAAACAATTTTCAAGATTTAACTTTAATAGGATTTTTTAAATTTGAATTTATTAAATCCTATTAAAGTTAAATCCTAGTTGCCAAACAACCCCTTACGTTTGTTGTATTGCATTTCCTAAGTTATGAGCATATTGCAGTAATTTTGGAATTATCCTAATTGGTGACTTATTTTGCAAATACCTTTATGTATATATTTTTAATTTTTTGTCAAATGTGACGTGAGTATTTCCTTGGCTAACCTTTTGAGCATCGTCTTGTTCTTGAGTCGATTTAAATTTGCATTACAGGTGTTTTTAAGCAATTGAAAAACGATTTATTTCCCAGTTAGAGCCTAAGGGGTCATATATGTTAATGGCACAAAATAATGCGTCGCATGGTGCACCTATGCGCTATTTGTATGGCGTTGCACAAATGTTCAAAATGACGTGTGCTATTTGTGCGCAATGGCGCAAATAGTACACAGTTTTATTTAGGGATTTTTAATATAGTTATAAATATATTTATATTTATAGGATAATCTAATATTTAAATTTTAAATATTATTAAAATAATTAGTTAGGTTTTATTATCCTACTGCCCTAACCCTCATGATTCGTGAGTGACAAATGAAATGAAGATACTCTCGAGCTGTTCGACACACGCTAAGGAAGCGACGTGATTGCGAAGGTCTGCCTGAGCCCTTCGTTTGATTTTATCGCCCTCTCCTATGTTCTTATGTTTACTCCATCACCTGACGTTGTCGTTGTTGGATCCTCATCCGTTTGATTCCGCCGTAGTTTAAGGGTTGTCCTTTGATTCAGTCGTTGTTGGATATTTCTTCCCACTAATTTTGATTGATTTAGTCGAATCTTCATCTCCAACAATATTAATTTAGTTAGGTATTGCCATATTGCTTAATTCGACTGATTCCGCCCTACTGGATTTTTCTCCTTTTATGCTTCAATTTGTATACGTTTTCAAAAGTTTACAATTATTGTATGGTTTGCATCATGTTCAAATGGCATGCGCTTTGCGCCACAACTCCAAAAAGACATTTATTCGAAAGTTCAAATGAAGTTGAATTAGATAACATAATAAATATTAAAATTGTTTTCAAAAACTTAAACTATATAATAATGATATTTTAGTAAATAAAAAATCAAGACAGTTCACTATAACATATTATGAATATAATTCTAAATTAAAATTTTGAGATATGATATTTTAATTATTTATAATATATTTAACTTTAAATACTAATAATATTCAACTTAAATTTTTTTTTTTAAAAAAAAATCTAAAGGTCCTGTTGTCTCTATTAGAATCAACAAGTTCATTAAAAATCAGATCAATTCATTGGTTCAATTGCCAATTCTACTAACAATTTTGTGCGAAAACGAATCGATTGAAGAATCAAGTCAAAGTTGAACGGATCAGATCGGCCAATTCAATCCGATTTTTAAAACGATGATATTTACTACTTAAATCTAAATACCATATTGTTACTACCACTCACTCATAAACCAATATAAATAATAAAAAAGAATAAAACTATTCATCTTCATCGCTATAATTAACACAAATTCCATCATAAAATACAAAAAAAAAAGATTTGAATGTTGCAAAGAAGTGCTAGGCTTCATTTGAAAGCAACTCTCTAATACAATAATTTTCAGTTTAAAAAATTTTTTGCTAATAAAAAGTTCAAAAAATAATAAGAAAGTTATCGCAAACAAAGCTAAAATCTTTATACTCCCACAAAGAAATATAAGACAATTCATATCTTCATTATAAATATGTTATAAAAAATGAACATTCTAAATATGTTTCTCTTATTGATAAACTGTACTATTTTTGAATAGCACAATATAATTGAAAACAACTGCAAACTTATTATACAGTACTCACAACATTTAAATATAAATCAACAACTGTGCTAAGAGATTATAATACAATATTGCATCTCAAACAAAATGAGCAGCAAAATACTATCAAAGATGATCATACTGCAAACACATACCTTAACTGTAGCTCAAAAGTCTAATCAATAAAGGGAATCAAAGATCCAAATTTCAGAAACGAGTCTTTCTTCTTAATTCCATGGACTCCAGTGGAATTCTTGCTACCCTATAATAAGAATGACAGGCCACATTAGAAATAGGAAAGTATATTTACATTGCAAGAACATAAAAAGGAAAGTGAGAAGGAAGAAGCGAGCATAGGTAATTTGTGATGCATGAATTTTTAAGAAAAGGTTTTGAATGAAATTATTTTTTTAAGAATTTTTAAATAAAAATAATTTTAAATAGTTCATGGAAATAATTAAGGTAAAAGGGAAGCAAATACCGAGCATAACACATGGTTTAAATATAAAGATGTTAGGAGTGTCAATATTTGACACAACCCAAAAATCCGATTAGAATCTGACCCAAAAATTATGGGTTAGGGTCAATGTTTAAAATTGCGTATTCGGGTATTGAGGCGTTTTTCGTTCGTGAGGCGAGGCGTAAGCCTCAAGGCATTTTGAGGTGTAAGCCTCAAAATCAAAAGATTGCGTAAACATAAAATGATAAATTTTTTATATACTAATGAGTGAATAATATAAAACATAAAAAAGCATAAGATATGAAGTGAAATCAAAATATCTCAATAATAAGACAACATGAAATATAGTTCAACTCAAAATTCTATATTTCCCAAATTCTAGTATTCTTTTTATTAACATATAATTCCAATTTCAAAAAATAAATAGCAATGACATATCACATAAGAACTCATAAGTCATCAGCACTGTCATCACTAAGGGGTTCTTCATTTGAATCATCATTATGGTGAACTGCTCTCTCCCCTTCCTCCTCTCCTATAGAGTCCAATGTCGGGCATTTACTTCAAGATTTATGTAAGTTTTAATATATATAGCATGAGGCGTAACTGCGTAAGCCTCATGCCAGTGAGGCTAGAGGCGGGCCTTAACCAAGTTGAGGCGCAAGCCTCATAAAAAAACTCGAGGCGTAAGCATCGAGGCGTTTTTTACTGGAATTGCGCAAAGGCGAGCATCATATTGCGCAATTTTAAGCCATGGTTAGGGTCAACCTGTTTATGAAACGAGTCAAGTTTGGGTTCAACAAACCGATCCATTTCAAAAATCGGGTCGGGTTCGGGTTGACTTGGAAACCCAAGAATAACTTAGAATGACCCGGCAAAAACGTGTTTGCCTTCTTCGTATCCAGTTGCGTCTGCCCACACCGCATTGAGTTGTGTCTGCCCGCATCACTGCGGAGCATCGCTCCCTATCGTTGTCGCTGCCTTACAAGATTTGGCTGTCAAAGAGTGCGAACGAAGGGATGACAGCTGACTTATGGGTCGGGTTGGGTTTGGGTCCGAAAACCTAATCCGTTTTCAAAAACAGTTTGGGTTTGGGTCGGATAAAATATTGCCGGGTCAATTCCAGGTTACACCCAAACCCGACCCATGACCCTATTTTGACAGTCCTAAAAGATGTGTTTCAATAAAAAACAAGTAAATCTAAAGGATAGAGAACTTATCATCAACAAAATGAAAAACTTTCCAACTGCTCATAGGATCATATAGTGAATATAGTTGTTAGAATTTATGACCTTAAAACACTGCTTTGTCCCGATGTCACAGACTGGATAATCCTGTGGGCAACAGGAACTGTGATCCTTGCAACAAACAGCGGATTCAAGCTCGCAACAGCCCCAAGAAAAGCACAGTCCTAGAAAGCTTCGAGTACAGCAGCAGGTAGTGGCAGAAGGGCAATATGTCAGAAGGTTGCACCTGGTTGGGCCTGGGCTAGGAGGAGGAGGATTTGGACTAGTCTTAGTTGGATATGAAGCTAGCATATTTATTCCACAAACACCTTGAGAAGTTCCACCATTACGTAGCATATGCATATATCCATTGATTCCCCAATTTGTTCCCCATGAATTCTTTAAGATCCAGTAGTCAACTCCATTTTTTGAACCGTAGCCTACAATTAGTACAGCATGATCCAATGATGTAGAGCATGGGCCAGTAAAAATTCCCTGAAAGGAAAAAAAAAAAAGTCAGGAACAAAATTTATTGATGAAATGCGCCAGTATAGAATAGCCATCACGAACTTTTACCTTTGAATACAACTGAAATGCTCTCTCACTACCAGAAATACCAACACTAACCGGTTGACTAGTAACGGCCTGCAGCAGTAATTTCTCATTGTGTGAAGGCACATCAGTATAGCCATCGATTGTCACAACGCGATGATTTAGCTGTAGGAACCGCGGTAGGATAAGTTCATCTTGCTAAAATTGCAAAAAGTAGATGGTGGAAAGACAATTTCTGCTCAGTTGCATCATAATACCTTGTTTTTAAGACAGTTTTTTTCTGCAGTATGATATGGATAATCTTCCTCTGTATCAATTCCATGGTTTTTCACCACCCAATTGTAAGCATAATCCATAAGCCCACCAGAACAACCAGTATTATAAGTTTGGTCACAATCGATTAACTCCTGTTCAGATAGGCTCACAAGAGATCCAGTAGCAATTTTGTTTATTCCCTCAATTGCACCAGTGGCAGAGAAGGCCCAACAAGCACCTAAGTAGAGTTGAAAAATGATAAGCTTCAAGTATTGGCACTATCTTGTATCACATATTATAGAAGGAATAGTATAATGGCTTTTACCACCTTCAGGAGTTATTAACCTTCTTTAGAAGGAAAGACGACCATTTGAAAAAACTCTCCCTTTCTATGGTTTTAGTTCTAGAGGGAGCGTGCCACAATATCCAAAAAAAAAAAAAAAAAAAGCCATTCAAGTTAAAAAGTAATAAGCTTAAACAAATCAAAATATATGATCCAGACATTTTTTCTATTAAGTAAAACGTAAGCAATGCTTAATTACAATAAGCTGGTCTTATTTGCACAACTAAGTAAAGTTCATAGAATTGGTACTCATTTGGTTTGGATTATTGCCAGCCTTGTGGCTATATAAGCTGTCATAAAACAGGTACAAGCTGTTTGGCCAAAAAAAAATCTGGACAGCTTTTTCTCAAACTTTAGTTTGAAAACTGCTTTTTCCACAAAAGCAAGCAGGTGATGGCCCATAAAGAAATTTTTATAAATGTCTGATTGGAAAGAAGAAAACCATTAGCCCGACCAAACAATCCCTTATTCAAATATTACCGTTGCATTTATTTTATGAACACTTAACTATGATGGCAAGGTCCTTGTAAAGGCTGAGAGTGACCAACAATCTTATGGGCATTTGGATCAACCTGTTAAAACCAAAATCAGATCTGCAAATGATAAGCAAGCCTTCTTATATCAGTCACTTTCCCACTTCGCTGCAGCCTCTGGCATCCATCTTTTTGCAGAACTGATCTCCACTACACCTCACCAACCACTAATATTCTACAAGGAATAGCCAAATCTACAGTAGAACAGTTTTATCTCTCTTAGTATAAATATACAATGTACTTTGTATGGAATACATATGAAAATACAGTTCTTCTCAATTTTTTCTTCTTCTACCTGAATTTCCTCTCTTCTCTGTTTTCAACTTATATAGCAGCCGGCACTCTTTTATGGTATCAGAGCCTCTCGCCTTACAACAACTTGATCTTTCTTTTATCTCCTCATGGATGGCTCTGAAAACTCGACAAACAATTCTTTAGTGACCAATCCTCCTGTAACTCCCTCAATGGCCGAACTCAACATTCCCCGTTCTAAAATTTCCTATGCCCACTATCAAACTCATAGTTCACATCCAACTCACAAGTGACAACTATCCTATATCGAGACTCCAAATGCTAAAAATATTTTCTAGTAACAACTTTGAAGGCTTCCTAAATGGTACATGTCTGCCCTCCCAAACAAATTATATCACCTGCCGGCGAAATCATCCCTAATGCAGAATACAATTCTTGGCAAGCTTCTCGATTAAAACCACTTTGTCACACTCTACTCTACCATATTATCCTACCTTACATCTTAAACCTGAATTCTTGTTACGAAATCTGGACAACTTTGGGAAAACGTCTCCAATTAGTACATTGATCAAAGAGTTTCTAACTCAAATGAGTTGTACGATATCTCAATGAAAGATCTATCTATGACTAAATATATATTTAAATCATTCCCTTGTAGACAATATTTCAACTGCCAGTTCTCATATAGACCACGAGGATATTATTCTCAAAAACCTATCCTCCTACCAGCCTTTCAACATTGCCATCCACACCAAACTCTCTCCGTTCTCTGTGTTCTTTTGCAGGTTAGTAGCGGTTTCCACACCACTTTCAACATTGCCATCCACACCAAACTCTCTCCAATAAGATTGAATGATCTATACTCATTGTTATGCAGCGAGGAAATTAATCTTCAAAATAAAAACTCCAAAGTACAACTTATACATCCTTGGCAGTCTACTCTTGCAGCTACACAAGGAAGACCTTTTCGCTCAAACAGAGATAGACCATGCTATCCACCTACACAACCATCTTGCAGCTTTACCCCTACCTCTCGTGGCAATCATTCTCCGTCCACCCCATGACAAACCTGTCAGTTTTGCAGTGAAATCGGCCACTCCGCTACAGTCTGCAAGCATATATGCAACCTTCAATATAATACTTCCTCCAACCCTACCATCCTTATGCTACTCACTCAAGCAACTCCACCCGCTCGCCCCTGGATCCTTGACTTAGGAGCCTCCTCACACTTAACAGCGGACCCCATAACACAATCCAACATTTTATGCCGGCTCCTAGGTTCGGTTGGCAATGGTGCAAAAATACAAATCAACAGCAACTAACAAGGATTGTTTCCTACCCCCTTCCCAGTCATTAAGCTTCTTCTCCACAATATTCTTCACATAACATGAATCTCACACAATCTTTCTATCAATACACAAGCTAGCCTCTGATAACAACTGCTCTATTTCATCAATCTACTAATTTCACCATTCAAGATCTTGCAACCAATGAGACACTTCTCTCAGGTTCCATCTATAATGACCTCAACTCACTTCACCTTACCAGGTCCAATCCACTCCATCTCACTCTTTCTGCAGCACAAGAACATCAACAACACTCTCAAGCTCTATGGCATGTCAGGCTCAACCTTCCATCTCATAGATTTTTCTAAGCTCACCAAACAACTAAACTTAACTTATAATTCAGCTAGTTTTGCTTTATGCAAATCTTATAATGTGGTCAAGAGTCACAAGATATCTTTCTTGCTTAAAAATGTAATAGCTTCTAAACCATTACAACTAATACATTCCGATATTTTGGGTGCCTCCCCAATCACCTCATTTAGTGGATACAAATACTATGTTATTTTTTGTGGATGATTTCTCTAAATTTACATGGCACTATCCCATGCATTCCAAAGCTAAAAGCTCCCAAAAAATTCATTAAATCTCCCGCCATGGTTGAAAATTCATTTAACCCACATATCAAAATCCTAAGGCCCGATGGTAGTGGTGAATACACTTCTCATCACTTACAACAATTTCTCTCCACTCATGATATCTCACAACAATATAGTTGCCCCTACACCCCTGAGCAAAATGGGATTGTTGAATGGAAACATCATCACCTCATTGAAACAACTTGCATGCCCTAAAAGCGGTCATGGATTTTAAAGTAACTGTGCATAAAGTATAGCATTTTCCTGCCTACTAAGAAAAACAGTTACGAGTACTTAGTTTTTTTTATATATATAATTTTTTTCACTCGTTAATATTTTTTATATATACGAATTTTCTCGCTCGCTAATAAAAGCGATCATGATCACAAGTACTTAATTACATGCATACAAATTTCTTCACTTGCTAATAAAAGCGATTATATTCATACATACAAATTTCCCCAGTCACTAATAAAAGCGGTTTAGCGGTCATGGATACTTTTATTATGCATACAAAAATTTCTGCCCGCTAATAAAAGTAGTCAAAGGGTCCTTATATTCATGCATACAAATTTAAAAAAAGCTGGTGTCGGGGTTATACCTTAGCTGCACTGATGCGAACATCGGTACGAAGATTTGGCGCATCTATCACAGGAGGCGTCGTAAATCAACGACTATTATTTAAATTTTCATTTATGAATTATTTACTAAAATTTAGCTCTTGTTTTATGTATTTCCTGTTTTACCCCTAGGTTAGTTGTTTGAGTGTTGTGGCCCAAGAGGCAATTTTGTAATTTTTATTTTTCTCATGTTGTGGCCTATATATAGGGCCTTAAGCTATTGTAATGAGGATGAAGAATTGATTTAAAAAAAAAAATTTGTGTCCACACTTTTGTTCTTGGTGAGAGAGCGTTAGTGAGATTCCTATGGAGAGGAATCGAAATCTTCACCAGTCGCAGGATGGGTCCGGGCTCGTGAATTGAAGTCCCTTGGAGAAGGGCAAAGCATCACCCGTCAGTCGTCGGAAGAGTCCGAGGCTCGCAGTTTTTGTTATTTTCTCTCTTTCGTTTTTATCTCTTCTTTAAATTATTTTTGTTCCATATTCGTTTGGCCATCGAATTCACCTCCACCCAAAATCCCTCATACCCTCTCCACCTCACGGCTAATCCCCCATACCCAAGCCCCTTGCCGCCGGAGCAAGTTCATTGCCGCCGCCCCTTTGGCTCCCACAAGCCGCCAGCTCCCAGGCAACCACCACCCGTCGGCCCTCCACCCGTCCCCTTGGCCCCATCCCTCTTCTAGCCGCCGGCCTCTCTCCATGGGATTTGAAATTTCAAATCTCTCCATGAGACATAATTGACTTTCCTAAATTAGATCCTTAATTTTAGGCAATCTTCTTAATTGTAATTCAATCCCAATTTGAAATTCAAATTAAGTTAATTGATTGTCTTACTTTAGGAAACTTTCCTCATATAAAATTCTGAGAATTCCGTGCAGATTTTTTTTTATTAAAACTGCTTTAATTATGTGGCCGACCTCAATACTGAAATCTAAATTCACTTGAATTTTAAATTCAAATCTGAGGACATTCAATCACATCATTAATTCCTAAATGCAAATCAATGAGCTTTAATGATTCCTTATTCTCCCAAGCCGTCACCTTCAGCTTTTCTCATAGCCATTAAGGCGTGACTCCTCCTTTTCCCGTTGCTTTAATTACTTCCTACAACTCCTCCCATAATTCCTTCTTCACATCCCACCTGTTCAAATGGCCTTAGCCCCACCTTCCAAATTTTGTAGAGGGAATTAGGAATTAATTCTTTATTTCAATTTCATCCCCGTAACTCCCCACCTCGCTGAATCTCCCAAATTCCCCAATGCTTGCAGTTATTTCTTAAATCAAATCATTGATTTAGGAAATCAATTCCCTTCTTCCCCTTTTCTCTCTCCAATACCTCTCTTGACTCACGGCTAAATCCTCCATCTCAACTCCCTACCTACCACACTTGGAAAATCTGAAATTCTACTCAGATTTCAATCTCAAAATCTGAAATTGTTTCAGTTTTGTTGGACAGAAAAATTGGAATTTTTGGAGTTGAATTATTCCAAAAGTCTACCCAGGTTTTTGTGTTTCTCTTTGAGATGAGCTTGGAGCTTGTTTCCCCTCTCCTACCTAGACAAAACCTGAG